ATCCAGTTTGCAGGATGACTTCCCGCCGAGCGGCAAAGACAAAAAAAACATTAAAACTCAGGTTGACAAAAACTCAGTTTGAATCAGGAAAACTCAGCTTGGCTAGAGTACCCAAAACTGGGAAACACTCTGGCGTCGAGGTAGTGGCAGTCAGCAGCTTAAGAGCACTCCGTTAATGAGGTAACCCTTAGCAGGTGTGTGAGGAGGTGAATCAGGACCAGGCGCCGCCTGGTGGAGGAATGAAGACAAACGCACAAAACACAAACCACACAGACAGGGTACCTAACATGAAGTTGTATCAGGATGCAGTGTTGTGGTCAAGACCACCTAACCTGAGACCAAGACAAGACCAAGACCAGAGTGTATCGAGACCGAGACAAGACCAAGACTTTTAGGGTCCGAGACCGAGTCAAGACCAAGACCGAGGGAAGTTGAGACCGAATCAAGACCAAGACCAGCGCCAGTATGTGACAATAAAAGGTGAAACATGATCAAAATCACTAAAATTTATCTAAAAGACCCACAACCACATAAAAACACCTAGATATTTAACACACAGAGCTGGAATAAACATAAACATCTTTTAAGTAATAAGTCGGACGTAGTCCCTACCGTCTCTGATAGTGAAGCACTGTAGAACTTACATGGCGCTGTACGCTTTTTTCTCAATGTTGCTTTACAAATATACAGGTGCTGGTCATAAAATTAGAATATCATGAAAAAGTAGATTGATTTCAGTAATTCCATTTAAAAAGTGAAACTTGTATATTATATTCATACATTACATACAAACTCATATATTTCAGATGTTTATTTTGTTTAATTTTGATGATTACAAATGACAACAAATGAAAATCTCAAATTCATCATATCAGAAAATTAGAATATTACTGAAGACCAATAAAAACAAAGGATTTATAGAAATGTTGGCCAACTGAAAAGTATGAACATGAAAAGTATGAGCATGTACAGCACTCAGTATTTAGTTGGGCCTCCTTTGGCCTGTATTACTGCAGCAATGCGGCGTGGCATGGAGTCGATCAGTCTGTGGCACTGCTCAGGTGTTATGATAGCCCAGGTTGCTCTAATAGTGGCTTTTAGCTCTTCTGAATTGTTGGGTCTGGTGTATTGCATCTTCTTCTTCACAATACCCCATAGATTTTCTATGGGGTTAAGGTCAGGAGAGTTTGCTGGCCAATTAAGAACAGGGATACCATGGTCCTTCAACCAGGTACTGGTAGCTTTGGCACTGTGTGCAGGTGCCAAGTCCTGTTGGAAAATGAAATCTGCATCTCCAAAAAGTTGGTCAGCTGCAGGAAGCATGAAGTGCTCTAAAACTTCCTGGTATGTGGCTGCGTTGACCCTGGACCTCAGAAAACACAATGGACCAACACCAGCAGATGACATGGCACCCCAAACCATCACTGACTGTGGAAACTTTACACTGGACTTCAAGCAACGTGGATGAAGTGCCTCTCTTCTTTTCCTCCAGACTCTGGGACCTTGATTTCCAAAGGAAATGCAAAATTTACTTTCATCAGAGAACATGACTTTGGACCACTCACCAGCAGTCCAGTCCTGTTTCTCTTTAGACGCTTCTGACGCTGTCTGTGGTTCAAGAGTGGCTTGACACAAGGAATGCGACAGCAGAAACCCATGTCTTTCATACGTCTGTGTGTGGTGGTTCTTGAAGCACTCACTCCAGCTGCAGTCCACTCTTTGTGAATCTCCCCCACATTTTTGAATGGGTTTTGTTTCACAATCCTCTCCAGGGTGCGGTTATCTCTCTTGCTTGTACACTTTTTTCGACCACATCTTTTCCTTCCCTTCGCCTCTCTATTAATGTGCTTGGACACTGAGCTCTGTGAACAGCCAGCCTCCTTAGCGATGACCTTTTGTGTCTTGCCCTCCTTGTGCAAGGTGTCGATGGTCGTCTTTTGGACAACTGTCAAGTCAGCAGTCTTCCCCATGATTGTGTAGCCTATAGAACTAGACTGAAAGACCATTTAAAGGCTTTTGCAGGTGGTTTGAGTTAATTAGCTGATTAGAGTGTGGCACCAGGGGCCATCAATTTTGAACCTTTTCACAATATTCTAATTTTCTGATATGATGAATTTGAGATTTTCATTTGTTGTCATTTGTAATCATCAAAATTAAACAAAATAAACATCTGAAATATATGAGTTTGTATGTAATGTATGAATATAATATACAAGTTTCACTTTTTAAATGGAATTACTGAAATCTATCTACTTTTTCATGATATTCTAATTTTATGACCAGCACCTGTATTCTTTGGGATTTAAATAGCCGAATTTTATAACCGATGATTTGGCTGACATCTTATCCCATTCTCAGACAACCACTTGTGACTTTCAATCGAAGTGCTGCAGCCCGCGCGCAGGTGAAAGGGGGTGGGCGGGACAGTGTTAAAAAAAAACAAAAAAGAAAACAAACAAAAAAACAACATGCATTTACCAATGAGACAGGTTATTGCTTGAATTTGAATCCAAGCATCCAATAAAAAGAAGGATCTTAAAGAAACTGATAATATTCTGATGATTAGTGTTATTTCCACAGTTGTGGTCTTGACTGGTCTTGAAATAAAATGCCAAGTCCTCAGCGCCCGAGACCGAGACAAGACCGAGACCAAATGCGGTCAAGTCCGAGACGAGACCGAGACCATCAAGAAATGGTCTCGAGACCAAGACCGATCTCAAGTACAACAACACTGTCAGGATGTACTGCTGAAGGTGAGAAAGGTTTCTACATGTGACCAGTAATTATTAATACCAGTGATGTTGAAATATCTCAGCCTCCTAAGGAGGTAGAGCTGTTGGATGGCTTCATTAACAAAGTATCAGTGTCTGTGGACAGAGAGGTGTCGATGTTATAAGAGACGGTGTGCTGGATTTAAACCAAGTTATAAACATCTACCATGCTCTACCCTTTAAGAAAGATTTTGATAAAGAAACAAGTTTCATTGTTCATATGAATTTATTTCTATCTCAGTCAAAATCCTCATCCTTCTGTGAAAGCAAACAACAATCATGTCTTGATAGTTCTGTGTGGTCCACCTACACACAATTCTTTAAAGACCTTGAGAAGTTATCTTTAAATCTTTCAGTTTCTTTTTTCTTTAATATTCCCCCATATTTCCCAACGGAAGAGGGAAAAAAAAGTTAACTGATCTTATATTTATTTCAGTTTAATATGGGGAAAAAAATTAGAATTCTGACTTTAAAGTTATAGGGAAGCGGCTGTTCCAACCGTCGCATTTCCGAATTCTCTTCTTCTTCTTCTTATGAGGTTTTATGGCAGTTGGCAAACTTGTGAAATGTGCATTACCGCCACCAACTGATATGGAGTAAAGCGAGGAAACAGGAAACGATTCACCCCAGAAACAAAATAAACAAACAAACATGTGTAACTTAACCCAACATAATAAATACTTTTTAATTAAATTTGCCCTTATAATTTTAATTTAACTTAAAGTCATTGTCACTCTGCCAGTTTCTGATGGTCCCATCGGTCCTCCCATCATGCTTCCAACCATCTCCCAGTTCAAATCTTTCACATCCAGATATTTTTCTGCAGCCTTCACTATTTTTTTTATTTTTTCGGTTTTTCTTGTTGTCTGTGCACTACAATTAATCACTTCCACCATGAATAGAACAAAATCTCTTTTTTAACAATTAGTGAGTCTTCTTCAATTTTTGGACATTTCTCTAAAGGTTTGGAATTTGCCGTGTGTTGAACTGTTGGTTTGTTTTTCCTGACTGAGATGGGATCCTTTTTGCAGCTTCAGCGTGCAAAAAGTGGTGCACGGCTTTAAAAGAGTGAATAAAGTGAATGTGATTGGTCGATTATCAAGGGGGTGGGATTGTTGTGGCGGAAGGTTCACAAGCACGTTTGGTTGTAGCCGGTTTGTTGGAAGCATCTTGCTAACCAGTGAGCAACTTAGTAGTAGGTTCCCACTAAGCCTCACTCGTGTATAAAAAACAGATGACAGTAGGTTTTTCTATTGTAGTTAAAGATGGAGGGTTTTTATTTGTTTCCCAATGGGAACCTACTAGCACTAACCTACTAGTGGATAATAGCTAAATTCTTATGAATATGGTTTCCCATTGGGAAACCATATTCATAGGAATTTAAATCGCTTCACTCTGTCAGGTTCCTGATTATAGGCAAAAAAATATGGGATGAAGATGAGAAAGGAAGAAGCTTATATAGGATTCAAAAATCTGTAACACTTAAAAATTATGGAGAAAGAAGCAGAAAAGAAGAGATAATTTCCACTAGACTAAGAACTGGATATACCTACTTCAATGAGTTTTTGTTTATGCTAGGGAACAAAAATAATGATTTATGTGAGGATTGTGGGGGAAAAGGAAATGTGCATCATGTTTAGACTTTATTTGGATTTAGTTTTTACATATGCATAGATATATTTAAAGATATATATATATATATATATATATATATATATATATATATATATATATATATATATATATATATATATATATATATATACAGAAGAGCTATATGTGTATATACTTTATCTCTTTTTATTCTTATTTTTTGTCTTTATTATATTGTATAGTTGGATGTGTGTATATATCATATAAAACTGTAACTGGAGCGTGTAACAAAAGTAATTTCCCTCTGGGATTATTAAAGTATTTCTGATTCTGAAAATGGTAGAAAATTGAGTATTAAAGGAATTTTAGGGGCAGATGGAGATTGGGGGGAAATTATAAAATTGATAAAGCATTATTTTTATTTTTAAATAATACAAATTTAAAAATAAGATAGGATATAGCAGGTGGAACCATAAGGCTATACACTCTTGTGCAGTAGGTGGCAGTATGCACCTATAAGTTGTTTGCGACCCGCCAATCAAATGACAGAAGAAGAGGGAGGTTAAAGATTATGTGGTCAGGCCTCTTGTTTTGTAGACGATCTTTGGAAGGATAAAAACGGAGGAAAAAAATACACGATCTTTGTTCAGTTTAGCAATTGGAAGGTGAATGATACGTAACATCCGGCTCGACGGGTCTTGTATCTTTGAAGTGGGTGAAAGGTGAAAGACGAAAAGTCGCTGCTGCTGTTTGCTGGATTGTCTCACCTTTAATAAACATGCTGCAGAACACAGGGTGAGTCTCTGCTCGCACACAGAACTGCACCGAAAAACAGTCAGAAATAAGGGGGAGCAGACTACCGAGCTGCTGCGCTGCTGGGATAAATTATCGGCTTTCCTGGGAAAACACTTGCATAATCCTGAAGTTTTCTAAAACCGAACCGAAGCAGGATCGGTTCTGAATATTACCCTGAGTTTGAATCCGTCCTGCTCCTTCTGCTGATAGACCTATGAGCAAAGCAGTTAAACCGTCCGCGTTCTCAATGGAGTTCGGGCTAAGCTGTAGCTTCAGGTTGTCTCGGTTAGCATAGTGGTTAGCAGCTCTTAGGATTTTTTAAATATCTTCTTGTAGTTTTACAGCATATCTGAGAGAGAAATTATTATGTTATATTTTACTGCCTGTTTAATAATAATAATGTTAAAACCGAGATATTAATAACTTTAGCAGCTGTCAGTCAGGAGCAGTTCCTTCAAAATAAGAGTGGACAGATGGGTTTCTGTCGAGGCTTTTACTATGAAAGAATTACTTACATCACAAAAAAAAAAATCAACAAATAACTTCTATTTGGACTCCTGCTAAAGTTCTTGCTTTGCCTGTTCTAGACACAGGTTTGGTTCCGGGGTTTTTAATGGCCTCTCTTGTCCAGAGTCCATTATTATTATGCAATAGCCGCACCTTCCTCTTTTCTTATGTTTTGTGGCAAACCACTTTAAGTGTATAACCACTGCAGTGACAAAGTTAGTGTTTTAAAAAGGAATAAGGTAGCAGAGACTAGATGTTCTGTGGAGGAATAGCTCCCCTGCTTTGTCCCAGAAACTGCTGCAGATCTAAGGGGAGCAGAAACTCTGGGGAAACACATCAACTATTTGATTCTAATCTATTAGTTCATATTGAGGCTTATTCCTGATTTCTGGTCCTATCTACTTTGGTGAACCTTTGCTCTGTGGTGTCCCCATACTTCCTTCTTTGCTGAATTAAAGCTAAACTTTATTCTTTCTTTTTATTTTTTTTAAACCAAATGTAACTAAAGAGCAATATATAATTATAAACCATATTGATAATTATGCAGGCTGCTCGGTCGAGCAGTGGGGAGCACTGCTGCCTGGCAGCAAGGAGGTTCCGGGTACGATTCGTGGTCCGGGATCTTTCTGCATGCAATTTGCATGTTCTCCCTGTGCATGCATGGGTTCTCTCCGGGTACTCCGGCTTCCTCCAACAGTCCAAAAAAATGACTGATGGGTTAATTGGCTTCTATAAATTCTGGAGACCTGTCCAGGGTGTCTGCCCATAGATCCAGGCTGGTGCCAATCAGGGATAAAGCCTGATAGAATGGATGGATTGATTAATATAAAGATCACACGTCTAAAACATGGGTGGTTCTAAATGGGGGCCAAAAGGGGCCGGTTCCCCTTGTAGAATTGGTCCTGACCCCTTTTGAACCCTGTACCTGACGTAATACTAAATACATATTTCTGTTGATGACTTGCTTTGCTACAGACACAGCAATTGATTGTTGCACCTATTTATTGCATTTTCTACCTTTACACTTCTGTTTTAACTATGATATTTTTCATTTAAAAGAAAAAAACATGAGCTATAATGAATGTTTTTTGACATTATACACCAGAGAATTTCTTTATTTTATCTTAAATCTTTATTAAGGTTTATAAACATAATGTTTTGGTCCTAATTTATTTGTTGACCATAGAAACAGGCCGAATATTTTAAGTTTTCTTCATTCAGTTATCATTTTAGTAATAAAGCACCTAACCTGTGATCATTATTTATATTAAACACATTAAAATAACTTAGTTTTTATTTTATAAAAAAAAAAAAAAAAATGCAATAAATAATGCAATTTAATTTCAACTGAGTGTAAATTATGTTTTTAATACAAACTCCGTTCATGCTGTTGCATCTCTGGGCGCAGCGAACAGCAAAGGCTCAGCCAATGAGGTCACATCCACCAGCCCATGTGACATCATGTGGTCATGCAACACGTCACCTTTGACTGAAGCACATATTTCACTGATTTTTGGGAATTTGGATAAAACTGGTTTTAATTTTGAAAATAAAAAGTTAGTTGGATTACAAAATCTGAAGGTATATTGTTATAGACCAAGGTCTTGGCTGTTAAGCAGTGTACAGGTGCAACCTCCTCATTTTGTATTTCTTTCATAAAATAGGCATTTTTCCAGTTATTACTTTGTTTTTGTCAACACCATCAGACACAATAAAAAGCTAATTATTTTTTATTTATTTGGTCTAATAAGTATTTAGAGTTTTTAAATCTTTATCTGGCATTGTTAGCACACATTTATGCTGTTAAATGTTGAATATTCATTTTTGTTAATTTTTTTTAACTGTTTCACGTGTAGTCCTTTAAAATATCTAACATCAGATAACGTTTACTTTAAGCCTAAATAGAAAAAGTCATGTTTTTTTATTTAACAAACATATTTTTGTATTAAAAGAGACCATTACTTTAATGAGAGAACAGCACTGAAGAAACATATTGCAAGCATATTCATTTAAAACGAATAAAAACCCTCTGACGGTGGTGACTTTAGAACTGACGGTGTTGACAGTGGCCTCATTTCAACATACAATTCCAAACTGTATACAATTCAAGTTAATGGTTTCTTGCTTATTAACTTTATTTAACTATTTGGTCCAAAAAATAACAATCATGAGCACTGTGACAAATATTTTTCAAGGAATATAAGGTACAATTAAGAAATATCATTATCAGTCAGAATCATTCTCTGATGCTTTATTTTCTTGCGTGTGATTGTGTCCTGTTTGTCAGTTGTCATTCGTGCTGCATTATGGTAGAAATTTTTAACCTTCTGAGTAATTGCTTGAATATATGTAGGTTTTTTGTCAGTAGGCCTTCACACTTCTTTTGATATTCCCTGTTTCTTTTCCTTCTTTCCTTCACAGATAGCTGCTTCCTAGCCATAACTTCCTAAAATACATAAAGTCAAAGTTGAGTGTAATGACTATGAAATTGGGGGGAATTACAGTAAATGTTAGATTTGGTTAAATGTTGCCCTGCCATAGCTTACAAGGAATATTGTATACTATGTGCTATGTAGGTAGGTAGTAGGTGCACTATGTGCATCCCAAATGATGTAAACAAAATGAACATGGCATAATAGTGAATTGAGAGACAGGGAAGGCACACCCCATCCCCTAGGGTTATACAATATGGAAGAAATCTAGGCGGAATTACATAAATAAAAATATAAAAGAAGTTAATGAAACATTACAGATCAACAATTATTTTCTAGCCTCCATCGAGAACCATTTGTAGTTTTTTGTCACCACCGTCAGACAGAAAATCTGACGGTGGTGACGTCTGACGGTGGTGACAAAATCCTACTCTTTCACATGATATGCATGAGTTGTTCCCATTAGCCATCTTGTTTCCCCTCTGTTGCTAGCTACTTTAGACCTCTTCTTAAAAAGTAAACATTTATGTCATAATCTAATCTAATATTTTTTATACAAAAGAGACGGTGTTGACATGTTATGGTTGTGACATTAGCAGTGTCCAAAAATATGAACAAGTTTAAGAGAAAATAACAAACCTACAGGAGCTTGAGTGACCTTAAGGCATCCAGTAGAGCTGAAGATTTGAAAATGGGGTCCTCAGGCATGTAGTTGACCTTTTAGTTGCCTGATTTTATTGCGTTTTATAAATATCTGACGGTGGTGACAAATATGTGGGACACATTTTGAGCAATCACAAAATAATGGTTATTATTGTTCAAAACTCACTGTTTGTAGTTTTAAATACATATTAAAATGTACCCTTTCATTTGGTAAAGATATTATTCAATTCAATTATTACTTTTTGTTTTTTTAATGAAGTTGAAATGATTATCTCCTATCCAAGGACAACTGATTTTATAGGCAATGGGCCAGCATATAATCATTAAATTAACAATAAAATAAAATAAACTTTAAAAGAACCTTGCATTTGTGCAAAGGACCCCCTGATTATAACCTTGATTGTTTTTATTCATGAAAATGTTATTTCTTTCCAACAGAATTAGCACTTTTCTTAGTGGGACATGTTTTTGCCAAAGTTTCAAGAATCAGTGATTTACTTTACAACTAACTATTATTTTTCTGTTTGTTTCCATGCAAAGGAAGTTAAATTTTGGGTAAAACAAAATTAACGCTTTCAACCCAGAAATACAAATTTTTAATTAGAATTTATGTTGAGGATGTTTTTCCTCTTTCGGTTTGAAGCCACAGGAGGCTCCTAATATCAAATCATGAACGATCATGTTTTTTTTTTTTTTGTTTTTTTTTGCTTTTTATTTCTGTGCTTCTGTGTGACGACAGTGGTCAAATCCGGTCTGCAAGGTTGAATTTGATCACAAACGGCGACTGGTAGATAAGTGCAGAGCTAGGAAACCAACATCTAGGGTTGTGGAGAAAAAAATTCATTTTTTTGCATTATAGTGATTTTTGGCTGCCTGATAATATCGATAATATTGATCTTTTAGTTCCTATTATCTTTTTTTTAAAGCAAAATTTTTTTTACCTAAAACGGAGGGAAAATGGGCGACCTTTGCACCGCCACTCTGGCAGATGGCGCTGTGGAGCCCTTTTGCTGTGCGGCGCAGCACTATATCTGTAGTTCAGGCGGTCGCAGTGGAAGACGGGAACTGATTCAAACCCCAAACAACATGGATGCCAAAATATCTAAATGATCAATATCATTAGATGAACATATATAGAGGTTTATTTTTATTGATACATTCAATTTTAATAGCAGGAATAATATCACATCTTAGAGTGATATTGCAATATAGTGATAATATTGTATCGTGACCCAAGTATTGTATTGCAACACCCATAACTATACTCACCCCTACCAGCATCATCATGGCTTCCACCTATGGCTGGAAGATTTTTTTGAAATATAGTAAAAAAGTTTTTAAAATTAACCAAAACTTTCCAAACCACACTTGTCTTCAGTATCTCTACCATGAGAAATTAGTTTCATATCCTAATTTAATAGAGGGAGTGGCGGCCTAGTGGTTAGGGTATAGAGCTTGGAATCCAGAGGTTGTGAGTTTGAAACCCACTGCCTCTCTGGGCCCCTGAGCAAGACCCTTAACCCCAGATGCCGCACAATGGCAGCCCACTGCTCCCCAAGGGGATGGGTTAAATGCAGAGGTAGGTTTCTCCAATGTGAGATCAATAAGGTTCAATTATTGTTATTAGAGTTTGAGTATTGATAGTTTTTGGGGTATTGATATTTTTGACAACTCTAGAAACGCCATAACTGTAACTAAAAAGAGGAGGAGCTTAGAGGAAGTGGATGATTTATTAGTGGTTATGATCTTACTGAGCCGCTGTCTCTCAGGAAGCTCGCCGGCTGCACGCTCTTCATCACAGGAGCGAGCCGGGGCATCGGGAAAGCCATCGCTCTGAAAGCCGCCCGTGATGGGGCCAACATCGTCATCGCCGCCAAGACGGCTGAGCCTCACCCGAAGCTTCCTGGAACCATCTTCACCGCCGCAGACGAAGGTGAGCAACAGTCTTTGACCACCTGTTAGCGCTCTCTGAGTGTCGCAGCTCCAGCATCTCTGTTGATGACCTGAACCCGATTCTGTGTGTTTGTGTCCCAGTGGAGGCGGCCGGAGGGAAGGCGCTGCCCTGCGTCGTGGACATCCGGGACGAGCAGCAGATCGGAGCGGCTGTTCAGAAAGCCGTGGAAACGTTTGGAGGTAAAACGGCTTCTTCCTGATTGGTTCAGCTATACTCTGATGTCATCTATCTTAGCTGTGACATCAACACAGGAGCTGTGTTTGATTGGCAGGCATTGACATCTTGGTGAACAACGCCAGCGCCATCAGTCTGACAGGAACCCTGGAGACGCCAATGAAGAAGGTGGACCTGATGCTGGGAATCAACCTGAGAGGAACATACCTGACGTATGACTAGAACCTGCCGCACAATGAGCTAAATCAGCAGATCACTACAGATCAGATAAATACTCACTGGTTATAGCTGTACATGCTATCTTAAACATTTATAAAATCCAATGTTTATAATTACTATCACAGCGCTACTTATTAAATCAGAAACTATCTGTAATGGTTTATAAGGAACCAGTGCGTTTGACGAACTGGTGTTAACGACCTGCGTTTGATGAACTGGTGTTAACGAGCTGCTATTAATGAGCAGCGTTTGACGAGCTGGTGTTAACGAGCTGCATTTGATGAACTGGTTAACGAGCTGCTATTAATGAGCTGCGTTTGATGAACTGGTGTTAACGAGCTGCTATTAATGAGCTGCGTTTGACGAACTGCTGTTAACGAGCTGGTGTTAACGAGCTGCGTTTGATGAACTGGTGTTAACGAGCTGCTATTAATGAGCTGCGTTTGACGAACTGCTGTTAACGAGCTGGTGTTAACGAGCTGCGTTTGATGAACTGGTGTTAACGAGCTGCTATTAATGAGCTGCGTTTGACGAACTGCTGTTAACGAGCTGGTGTTAACGAGCTGCGTTTGATGAACTGGTGTTAACGAGCTGCTATTAATGAGCTGCGTTTGACGAACTGCTGTTAACGAGCTGGTGTTAACGAGCTGCGTTTGACGAACTGCTGTTAACGAGCTGGTGTTAACGAGCTGCGTTTGATGAACTGGTGTTAACGAGCTGCTATTAATGAGCTGCGTTTGATGAACTGGTGTTAACGAGCTGCTATTAATGAGCTGCGTTTGACGAACTGCTGTTAACGAGCTGGTGTTAACGAGCTGCGTTTGATGAACTGGTGTTAACGAGCTGCTATTAATGAGCTGCGTTTGACGAACTGCTGTTAACGAGCTGGTGTTAACGAGCTGCGTTTGATGAACTGGTGTTAACGAGCTGCTATTAATGAGCTGCGTTTGACGAACTGCTGTTAATGAGCTGGTGTTAACGAGCTGCGTTTGATGAACTGCTGTTAACGAGCTGGTGTTAACAAGCTGCGTTTGACGAGCTGTTGTTAACAAGCTATGGTTAACAAGCTGCTATTAATGAGCTGTGTTTGATGAACTGGTGTTAACGAGCTGGTGTTAACGAGCTGGTGTTAACGAGCTGCGTTTGACGAGCTGTTGTTAACGAGCTGGTGTTAACGAGCTGGTGTTAACGAGCTGCGTTTGACGAACTGCTGTTAACGAGCTGGTGTTAACAAGCTGCGTTTGACGAGCTGGTGTTATCGAGCTGTGGTTAACGAGCTGCTATTAATGAGCTGTGTTGGATGAACTGGTGTTAACGAACTGGTGTTAACGAGCTGGTGTTAACGAGCTGCGTTTGACGAGCTGTTGTTAAAGAGCTGTGGTTAATGAGCTGCTATTAATGAGCTGCGTTTCACGAGCTGGTGTTAACGGGCTGCTGTTGACGAGCTGCAAACCAGTAGCTTTTAGGTAGCATCCTTTAACTACCTGCTTACAACCAGTTGTTACCAAGCTGTCGTTATTGAGCCGCAGTTAGGAGGCTCCTTAGCGAGCTGCTGTTAACGAGCTCCGGATAACGAGCTGCGGTTAATGAGCTGCTGTTAACAAGTTTTAGTTTTCGAGCTACTGTTAAAGAGCTACGGTTAACATGCTAACGATAACCTGCTAATGTTCTAACAGCTGTTTCTTCCTCTCAGATCAAAGCTCGTCATCCCTCACCTCCTGAAGAGCCGCAGTCCCCACATCCTGAACCTTTCACCGCCACTCAACATGAACCCCGTCTGGTTCAAGAATCATACTGGTAACCAGTGAAAGCAGCTAAATCTTCTTCTCGTCTTGTTGTTACCATCGTCAATGTGTCGTATTGTGTTGGTTTGCAGCGTATACGATGGCGAAGTACGGGATGTCGATGTGTGTCCTTGGGATGGCCGAAGAGTTCAGAGGTCAAATTGCTGTCAACGCCCTCTGGCCTAAAACTGGTTGGTGGTTCAAATACCAGAACTTCTTTTATTAAGCAGCACTTAGCTTAAAGGTAGTCTACATGCTAACAGTCCCCGCCCACACTGACTGTTTGTTGTTCTCTTAGCCATCCAGACAGCGGCCATGGACATGCTGGGAGGGGAAGGTGTAGGAAAACAGTGTCGTACGGCGGATATTATAGCAGACGCCGCCTACGCCATCCTGACCAAACCCAAGGATTACACGGGTCGCTTCCTGGTGGACGAGGATGTCCTCAGGGAGCTCGGCGTCAAAGACTTTGACCAGTACGCCGTCCAGCCAGGTGAGTCCAGAGAAACTGAACAAACTCTCAGCTGTGTCCCCCTCCATTACCTTTGGTGCTGACAGAGGCTCTGATTGGCCCGTAGGCCACCCTCTGCTGCCGGACTTCTTCCTGGATGAAGCTCCAGAGAATCTGGTCAAACACATGGAGGAACACGGTCAGTACTACACACTGCATGGCACTACAGGACCTGCCGCCCTGTTTAATCTCTTATTCCTGGTTTCCAGGGGCAACGCCGGCCTTCAAACCCCCGTCCTCAGACACGCCCCGTTCTGGTGGACCAATAGAAAGCACCTTTGACGTCATCAGAGGAGTCCTGAATGAAGACGTGGTGAAATCGACGCAGGGCATCTACCGCTTCGACCTGTCAGGTAACAGGAGGAAGTCAACACACACACACGCCCATATATGGATATGTTTCATATCTTCATGTCGTTCTCAGGAGAACACAGCGGCGTCTGGTTCCTTGACCTGAAGAGCGGCTCCGGGAGCGCAGGGAAAGGCGAACCCCCTGTCAAGGCTGATGTCGTTATGACGATGGACTCCAGTGACTTCACTAAAATGTTCTCAGGTGAGTCAGCGACTCAAGCGATGACCCGACATGGCGACGTTTCCATGGCAATGACTGCCTCATATGGGCGTGTGCTTTCAGGGAAGCTGAAGCCCACGATGGCCTTCATGTCCGGGAAGCTGCGGATCAAAGGGGACATGACGCTCGCCATCAAACTGGAGAAGCTGATGGGGCGCATGAACAAGGCCAAACTGTGAGGCCCAAGCTCCGCCCACAGACCTGAGGCCCCGCCTCCTCAGGTCTGCTCTACATGTTGCCTTAATCAAAAACTGACACCCTGGTAGGAGGACGAGAGCCGTTGACATGACGACGAAGGGGGTGTTGCCGTCCTGGAGCCGACCACAACGTAGGCAGAGGGCTCATAACCGGTTTGAACCAGTTCTAGCCAGCTTGCTCCAGTCTGGATCAGCTGTTTTTTATCATGACTGTAATTTCTTCTCTGACTAACATTCACCGTGTTGCTATGGTAACAGACATTAAATAAATCTAATTTAAAGTGTCTCAGATTTAGTTTTTGGTCACAGAGCTGGAGATGATATCGGGGGGGTGGGGGTGGGGGGATGACAGTGATACTGTTTCTATACTGTTTACATACACATCTTAAGGTCAAAGGTCAACCAGGAAGAGGGAGTGTTCAGATATTGGCCCAAAAAACATTTCAATGACCCTGGAATCTTCTCTGAACTGAGGAGACAAACTGACCTGTATGGAAGGTAAACAAACCTACAGTCAAACATGGTGGAGGCAGTATGATGGTCTGGGAGGGTTTGCTGCATCATGTAACAGTATCGAAATGCAGGGGCGGAGCGACGCCCTAATTCGGATTTCCGTAAAAATTTAAAAAACTTGGTTTCCAAGATTTGAAATCTTGGAAGATTTATAATCTTGGAAATCAAGTCCAGTGGATATTTTTTGAATTTTTACGGAATGACTATGACCTGGATGACAGGGAACCTTCATCAGCACCCTTATTAGAATCCATACTGGAAGTTGGTCCCAACAGGAACTTAATGAAGTCCTGTTAGATGCGTTGATCTCAGGTTTTTGGTCCACCTGGGTTAGGATCAGGTATTGGACTGGTCTTCAGCCTTACCACATATATACAGGGTTTCTCCAGCTTCTCAAATTTTTTTATTGAAATTTGAAACATGGATGCCTCCAGTAAAGCACATTCAAATGAAAATTTATCTTAAAAACACTTATCATTTAATGAACAGTATGGAATAATTTCATATTTGAAATCCTTTCAGAAGTTTGAATTCTAAATATGACTGGACTTTCCCTTTAAATCAACACCAAGAAACGCTGCCAGTTCTGATCTGAAGATCCCACATTTTAAATAGTTATGGAAAATTATGAACTTTATGTCCTCAGGACCAAAAAGAAGGACTTCCTGGGTTTTCAAAGCTACGATCATCCAGCATCTGTGGTGGTATGGAGGTGTGATGGTGCCTTTACCAAGGAGTAACTGACTCATCCATGAATGCATCATTTATCCTGAAAGATACATCCAGGTTTGAAAGCATCATCTTCTTTTAGGGAGACAATGCAGAATCTTATTCTGCTCACCTTCCAACAACGAGGCGTCAGAGTTCCCATCTAGACTGAGCTTTCCTCAGTCCAGACCTTGCTGCAGTAGAAATGGAGCACATTGTGAAGCACAAAATACGGAAGTTGTTCATCAAACATGCAATTGACAGAACTCCACCTACAGAGCTTTACCAATAATTCCCCAAACTCGTAAAGGAAAAATTATGCATAGCTAAACATGTAGATGGATCCTGTTGCAAACAATTTTAAAATCACTCAATATATGTTATAAATCAAAACATTTGTCAGTTTGAAATTTGTATTCTGATCTAATTTACGTTTTAAACATCTTGACTTCAATGAAATTAGGTTGTATAATATCCTTTATGCAGGGATGAATGTTTCACTCTGTCAGAATATCTAATCTGTAAAGCGCCTTGAGAGGACATGTTGTTTTATAAATAAACTGCTTTGATTATAAATGCTTATCTGTTTGTGTTCCACGGTTTTCCTCCAATGACCTCAACTTGATGATTTCACAACCAAAGTGTTGGTCTAATATTTTATAAAAGATTAAAAATGCTACATAACAGATAGGGTTAGGCACATTGGTGGCCCTGCCTGATGATAAGAGCTTTTTAAAGAAATAAATGGAAAAACTGCAAATATCAATGTAGTTCAGTTTAAATCAAGTAAACCTGTCTTTAGGAACCAAACACGTTATCTTTATTCCTTAATTTTTCCCAAATGACACAAAGGCACAAAACTAAAAGAAATATCTAAGATACTAAAACTTAAAATTCAGTGTTACAGAAGTTTCCTGTCACTGTTTTCCGATATACTTCTAAAACGAAACCTGGAATCACAGATTATATCCAAACATAGAAAACCAACGACATGACTGAAACCACACGTTTTTATTTCATTAAGACAAAAGCTGGACAAATTATTGTAAAGAAAGCAGAAATGATGGATTAGCAGTAAAATTCCAATGTTTACAGAAGAATTTAATCACAATAATGTTTAGGAAGACAGCATGTAGGGGGATCATTTGAAAGAGATTAAAACAATGAAATCAGAAAGAAAATTGTAAAATAATTCTGACAATTCAAAGTACGTTTAAAAAGAAAAGTACATGTCTTCATAGAGGAACAAGCCTTGTTCATGAGGGGTTAACCCCTTGACGTCAGATTATATATATATATATATACATATATATATATATATATATATATATGTATATAAGTGTGTGTGCATATATCATAACATACACTGTTAGGGGCCAGTTAGAAACAAGAGTTTGCCAAAGGTTCCTGTTCACTGAATGTAATAACTGGCACTGAGGGAATGGACATGATATCTGGTTAATAAAAAGGGTTTGTTGCATAATTGCAACGATGGGTGTCAAAGGGTTACATGACTGATAAAGTCGCAGGGAAGCGGCTGTTCCAACCGCTGCATTTACGAATTCTCCCGAGTTGTGCACGACTTTTACACGAGTGAATAAAGTGAATGTGATTGGTCCATTATCAAGGGGGCAGGATTGTTGTGGCAGAAGGTTCGCAAGCTAGTTTGGTTGTGGCCGGTTTGTCAGTAGAATCTTGCTAACCAGTTAGCATCTTAATGCTAGCAGGTTCCCAATGGGAAATTCCATTGGGACCAAGTAGCACTAAATTGGGGACTTAGAAACGACGCTGTCAAGGAACGCTATGGACAGAGGAAACATGCAAGAGGAGGAGAGTTTAGTGTCGGAGGTCGTGGATGAGTCTCCTCCGTCATCCATTTTTTATTTAGAGGAGGAAAGCGGGGACGAAGATGTTGTGGAAGAGGACGCCAGGGCGGCAGAAGCTTGGTTTGGTGTAGAAGGCTTCCAGCCGTACATGTTTGAGCCCTTGCCTCGCAACGCTGCCAGTTCTGTTAGCTCTACGCCTGCCGAAGACACAGACGTCCATCCCCGTGAACACTGGGACGCAACTCAATGGGAAAGGAAAGGATTCTGATTTCTGATTCCAACCGTTGCGTATATTAGCTGCGACATATGAATCAAGATGCTATGACCGAAAACATTTGATTGACAGATGACCGTTGATATATGATTGGCTGAATTTAGGTGTTCAGGCTGACGTAGAACTAACTGGCCTGCATAACAGCCACAGATTTTAAGACAGGATTTTTTTGAAAATAGAAATTTTCTAACTTTTGGCACGATATCGTCTGATAAAGAGTACATTTATATAAATATTTAAGACAGAATGATTTGACATTTAAATATGATTTCCCTACGACTTTAAAGGAATAAAATGTTTTCATGTTCTCTTAAAAACAGAATTTGTCATTGCGTCAAAATTAAATTGTTTATTTATGGATGTCTGTAAAGACAGTAGTTCACATGAATCTTAAGCATCATTTCAAAATATATCAAACCCACCAGAGATGTGATGAATCTGAACTAATAGGATCTGGATGGGAAGTTCTGAATATAAAGGAGAAAATACTGTATGTATTCAACAAAACGCGTTGATGATGGTCTGATTTTGTATCTTCCCATTTACCAGCGATCAGGTTTTGATGCCTCCATCGGCCAGTTTTGTTATCAGGCGCTGTGGAACTTTGACAAAAGCAGGCGGGGGAGGCCGAGCAAAGCGCTGCGGGATGGCAAAGGAAAGTCGAGGCCTTCCTGACAAGGCAAGAAGTGGCCAAGAAAAAGCAGACTGATGATGACCAGAGAACTGATGGTGGGACGCTCCTGGAAAGGCAGCTTTGGGAGGACCAGAGATGCGATTGTGAGATTGGATCTTTGGATTGGAAAGGCCATTGGTAGGTAGAGCATGGAAGCGATGGTGGGAAGTTCCTGCAAAGGCAGCGTAATGAGGACCATAGAAGCCGTAGTGAAATGGACTGGATGAACCAGTGTGAGGTAGACCATAGGAGATATGGTGGGATGATCCAGAAAGATCCTGGTGAGAAGGCTTGGAGGAAGTACGAAGAGATTTAATGAAGGTATGCAGGTGATTGCGCCTCTCGCCTATTGACTGCTGGAGATAGGCACCCCTTGCAATCCCACTTGGGACAAGCATGTCAGATAATGGATGGATGGATGGATGAAGGGGATTTTGGTAGAGCGGCAGAGAGTGTTTTTGATGAGAGGAAGTTGGCCACCGGTACATAGAAGACTCAGAATTCAAAGATTGACGAGGCCTTAAGTATACATGGTGGAAGGTGTTCAAATGAGGAAGGTGTGGTTGAGGGAACCCTAAAGAGGAAGGCTGAGGACAAGGTGGAAGCGGTTGCTCGTGCTTAGCAAAGAAAGCTGGTCTAGCATTAGACAAAGCTGGATTTTTTAGGTTAATATTGTACATAGCCTCCCTATTAGTGGGACTTAGTGGCATAAAGTCATAATTTGTGGGAGATGGTAAAACAGGATAGATTTGGTTCATTTGTTCCGATTTGAAATTACCTTGTAATCTGGGTTGAAGGGGGTATGATGGCTGACCATAGGAGGGGCCTGGATTGCCTAGAAGAAAGCCTGCCATCGCCTTTAGATGGGAGCTGGAAGGCTTGTCGTCTTCCACAACTGAGCAGTTTGCCTGAGTACTCAAGGTGTCAGAACTGTTTGTTTTGGTGATTTTTAAGGAGCTGGTATTGTCTGTAAGATGTTCAGTGCTTGATGGGTTAGAGGCGGGAGCCCTTAAAAAGTTCCCAGACGAAATAGTGGTTTTATTGGTGGAACCTGGCCTATTGGAAGGTAGCTGCGTTTCAATGGGTTTTGTTCTGTTTGTCCGGAAAATTTGGGCAAACAACCTCTTTGATTTGTTAATCAGATTTTTGGTACGTGAGCTTGGGGATAGAGATTCACGTAGAACATTAGCGGAGTGACCTGTGTCGTTATTACAGCCAGATGTGGCAATGACATCCTGGGTGGCAGGAGTAAGTTTAGAGGTATCTCTATGGATGGTTTGGGTAGTGAGCTTACTTTTACTGTCACTTGGAGTTTTGGTGTTTTTTCTATGGGAAGAAGTAAAATCTGACTGAAATGGAGTTGTTTTTTCATGGTTAGACATAACTGCTGGAATGGCAGTGGTTAAGACTAGAGGACTTTTTGTTGCATTGGTGAAGTCTTTAATGGTTGTTCCTAGGATTGTTGAATTAACTCTGGTGTGTTTTGGTTTTTTTTTACCACTGAGGATATGGGGTACTTTAGAGCCTGTGGGAAAGAGGATGGCAGCTGAACTGTTAATGGGAGTAGCCTGAGGGTCAGTAGTCGATGTCTGTGGCACAGCGGTGGACTTAAGATTTAAAGTTTTGATCTTGTACTTAGATGTTTTCTTTTGACCGGCAGCAGTTGACGACAGTTTGACATTTCCTCTGTTAAAGGTGGTAACATTTGTTGCTGTGGGTTTAGTTTTTAGCAGAGGCTTAGCTGTAGCAACCAGAGATTTAGACGTCTTAGCTAAAGGCTTTTCGGAGATAGTTGAAGTTAGGGTTGTTGCTGCATTGGGAGTGGTTCTACTAGGACTGTTTCTTTCTTTATCCCCACTGATGATATTTATTTCTGATGTCAAAGATTCATAACTTGGGGTTAGGGCTGCAGGACCTGGGGTCGTTGCTTCAGGACCTCTTACATTTGGAGAAATACTGTTAGTTGCTGTGCTGACAGCGTTTGGTTTCTCGTCTGTAATATCATTTGTTGTGGAGTCCAATGAACCAGAGTCGCTTATCCCTCTCAGGACATCAGTTACACACGTTGAGAAAAAACATTTTGTTTTGTTTTGCGTTGAGTCCGAATTTGAATCTCTAACTCTCTCACTATAGGGCTCTGTTATAACATTAAAAGGTGCAACCACCATCTTATTTGCTGGGTCAATATGAGGCAAACTGGGTAATGGTGGATTCCAGTTAGCATCAGTTGTGATTTTGTTTGTAATTTTATTGTTGGCCAACAAACCAATGCTCATCCCGTCTTTGGTAGAAACAGCAACATTTGTTGCTGTGGAGTTGTAGGGAGGGAAATAGTGTAAATTGGGGGTAGTTGGTTTGGGTTTAGTTTTTAGCAGAGGCTTAGCTGTAGCAACCAGAGATTTAGAGGTCTTAGCTAAAGGCTTTTCGGAGATAGTTGAAGTTAGGGTTGTCGCTGCGTTGGGAGTGGTTCTACTAGGACTGTTTATTTCTCTATCCCTACTGATGATATTTATTTCTGATGTCAAAGATTCATAAGTTGGGGTTAGGGCTGCAGGACCTGGGGTCGTTGCTTCAGGACCTCTTACATTTGGAGAAATACTGTGAGTTGCTGTGCTGACAGCGTTTGGTTTATCGTCTGTAATATCATTTGTTGTAGAGTCCAATGAATCAGAGTCACTTATCCCTCTCAGGACATCAGTTGCACACGTTGAGAAAAAACATTTGGTTTTGTTTTGCGTTGAGTCCGAATTTGAATTTTTAACTTTCTCACTATGAGCCTCTGTTATAACATTAAATGGTGCAACCACCATCTTATTTGTAGGGTCAATATGAGGCAAACTGGGTAATGGGGGATTCCAGTTAGCATCAGTTGGGATTTTGTTTGTGATTTTATTGTAGGCCAACAAACCAATGCTCATCCCGTCTTTGCTAGAAACAGCAACATTTGTTGCTGTGGAGTTGTAAGGAGGGAAATAGCGTAAATTGGGGGTAGTCGGTTTGGGTTTAGTTTTTAGCAGAGGCTTAGCTGTAGCAACCAGAGATTTAGAGGTCTTAGCTAAAGGCTTTTCGGAGATAGTTGAGGTTAGGGTTGTCGCTGCATTGGGAGTGGTTCTACTAGGACTGTTTCTTTCTTTATCCCTACTGATGATATTTATTTCTGATGTCAAAGATTCATAACTTGGGGTTAGGGCTGCATAACCCTCAGTCGTTGCTTCAGGACCTCTTACCAAACCAATGCTTATCCCGTCTTTGCTAGAAACAGGTGTAGAGGCCGTCATGTTACTCCCAAAGGTATTATCCTGAGCTAGAATGTCAGGGTAGTTACCGTTAGAAGTGTTGGTTAATTCAGCACCGATGGAGTGGGATGGTGTGATGGGTTTGGAAGGTAAACTGGAGAAGAACTGATCAAAGGTTTTATTTGGGGATGTTATGATTGGCTTTGGTGTACCGCCATCATCAGAAGTGTTTGATGGATTGATAACGGTGGAACTAGGGGTGGTAAGATATCTCATGAGACTAGAACTTGCCGTTATAGGTTGAGAGTCACTATTTAGGCCTTGTTTAGCTTTTATGTGAACCTTTCTACTTTTTTTATTTTGCTTAATGCTAATTCGAGCTTCAGTAGAATGAATGGAATTAAGTATTATGGACCTTAAAGTTGTAGTTGGAACATCTTGTTTGGTTGGGAGCCCTTTTCCACTGCTTCCAGTAACATGGCCAGTTGTAGAGGTGTCAACAGGGATAGAATGAGAAGCTTTACTTATGCCAGACTGGCCGTTATTGATGTGACTGAAGGGAAGGATCGAGTTGTTTGAGGGGAATGTAAAAGTTTTCAACTCATCACTGGTTTTACTTAATGTGGTTGTAGTTTTGGTTGTGGAGGCTTTGGTCAAAGTTGGCTCAGCAGAGATGCTAGTTTGATCATCGGAGGATATGATGGAGTTTTCAGAGTCTACTGAGTTGTTACTGGTAGAGATTGGATGGATGGTAGTTGAAGCTAAATCATGCTTGTCAGCATTCTGATCCTCTTTTCTGGTCAAAGAGTAGTTTGAGATCATAGGAAAACTAGAGGTTGTTGTCTGAGAGTCTGTTGAACAGGGATTACAGGGGAAAGTTGAGCCTGTGGTGGACATTACCTCAGCTTTGGCCGCTATTGATGTAGTCATAGTGCGATTATTATTCAAGGTAGATAAAGACATAGAAAGATGCGTCATTGACCTTGAGGTCGGTATGTTAGTGGCACTTGGATTGAGTGGAGATTGAGGAGGGGAGGCGGTTGAAGTTTTAAAACTGGTAACTGTGAATGTCTTGTTGCTTGACCTAACAGGGTTGACCAGCAGAGCTCTTGGTCGTCGTTCTCGTCCACCTTCTCTTTCTTCGAGTGAAGAATTCACCTGAGGTAGCTTTACGGTAACATCTTTATTTTGGTGGCTCATATCTGGTGAGGCTAGATGCTGGCCGGCGGTAGGATTCCTGCAAGTGGCAACAGCTGTTTTTTGTTTCTTCAGCAGGTGATCGTAGTAGAGCAGAGACAGCTGGTAAAATGAGTTTCCACTGGACATCTGAAAATAAAATCATAAAGGAAAGACTCAGAAGGTCAGTTCATAAAATTTAAAATCCATTTAGAGCTGGATGTTGTGCTTCTTTGATCTCACACTGCAATACAGAGAACCAAGTTTGTCAGCACCAATAGTCAGACAGTGTGTGGTGGTTTCAGTGACTTTAGCCCTGTCCTGCATGGTTTAGGTGTCTCTTTGCTGCCATGTGTCTGACTTTAATTAATTGGAGATTAACAGGCTTCTGCAGCCCCTGATGGTTGCTGAGGAGGCAATGCATTAATCTAAATTGGATTTTCTGGAATCCAGTTTGTGTGGTCTGTTTTTGTGTTTCCTTTCCTCCTCCACCAGGTGGGGCCCGGTCTTCATTGGGTCTCCCTGCACACCTGCAGCTCATTGCCTCATTACCTGTGGAGTGTTCTTAAGCTGCTGACTGCCCCTACCTCAACGCCAGAGTGTTTGCCAAGACAGGGTACTTTAGCCATGCTTAGTTTAGCAGAGTCTAACCTGAGTTTTTGTTTGCCAGTTTTGGGTTCTCTAGCCAAGCTGAGTTTTGTTGAGTCAAACTGAGTTTTTGTCAAAATGAGTCTTAACTTTGTTCTTGTCTTTGCCTCTCGGCAGGAAGTCATCCTGCAAACTGGATTTGTTCGGGCCTTCTCTTTCTGGAACGATCAACTGAGCTTCTAACTGAGCTGGGGTTCCAAACAGGAAGTTTGGATCCATTTTCCCCAAGAGGTCGTTTGAGCTTCACACCAAGCAAAGTTTACATCTGCACCGCAGCCCGTTCAAGTACCACAGGAAATCTGAGTGGCAGTCAGCTTCTCCGTTCACCAAGGAACAACCACAGTCTGACTAAACCCTGTCCGCCCAACACCAAACAAGACAATCACTGGAACCATCCCACACAGACTGGAATCCATAAAGGACACATTTTCTGGAGAAGTAAGTCTGCAACCTATTCCTCCAATTCAAGCCTAAGAATCTAATTTCTGACTGAGCCTGAACTAACCGCAGTGTCTTTCCTTCACCCTCCAGTTCCAGTTTGACAGTGTTCTGAGCAGCACTGGATTTATCACCATATTCTTAATAAACCAGTTAAACTTTTCCCTGGTCTCTCTGTTGGTCTTCTGCATTTTGGGTCAGACCTTTAAATAAATCATGGCACTGGAATGGAGACATGTCCATGCAGGCAAGGAGCCCGAGGACCAGGGTCTGGAACCATCGCTATAGAAAATGGTAATTTATTCTTATGAAATTTCTTTTTGTCCCTTTGGCTCTTTATATCAGGGTTCCCAAAGGTGGTTTCACAATATGACTTTTTCACAATCAGGCACCAAAATATATCATGAAACAAAAATACCATTGTCCTATAAAATAAATAATTGTACCATAAAATAAGTAGATCTAGATCTCATTTAAATTCTTCATAAAATGCACAACTAAATAAATAGATGTTCCATTAATGTAAAAAAAAAAGTTCTAATAGAAATTTTATTCAAAATTATTGCCTTACGGAATATTTATATATAAACTCTGAGTGAAATAATTGTATGTATCTTTAGGGGGTCGCTTCTCTGTGTCGCTAAAATGTTACCTAATAAAGTGAAGATTTGCCGTATTCTAACTTTTATCTTCTTCACACCTCTTCATCAATAGAACCTGCTGATCATGGTTGAGTTATCCTGACTGAGATTTTCGTTGATTCCGTTTCCTGTTCGGGTTCCCAGAGCCTGACGTTACGAAACATCAGAGCATCCGATCAGCTGAACCTGAAAGAGGGCAGCAGCTGCTTTACCTGTGATAGGAGGAGGCTGCAGGAGAAGGGAAGCTCCAACAGAACCCACAGTCTAAAGGTCCGAATGGAACCAGCACATCCGTCAGGCAGCAACAGCAACCTTCTTCCATCTGTAGAGACACATCAAGATCAATATTATGTCCTTAAGTCTCAAATGATCTGAGACGTTCTTCTTCTTGTGATCTAAAATGCATCCTATCTTCCAGGTTTCTGTTCAGAATCCAGAAGGGATAAAGCCTGTTTTGTTTGGCCTTTGGATTTCTTTCATCAGAAGAAAGCGGTAAACCATATGAAGAAGCTCATTTCCTACCATGCAAATTTATTTTATAAAGCATTTTTAACACCGAGCAAGACCAAAGGGCTATACACAATCATAAAACACAAATAATCAATGAGAAAAACAATAGATATAGTGGTGTATAAAAGTAGCAATAATATAAAAAGCTATAATAAAATAATAAGACAATATCTCAGGTTGTTTTAAAAGGTAAGGAAAAGAAATGAGTCTAAAGAAGAGATTTAAAATTAGAAAGTTCGGAGGCCTGTCTAACAGCCAAGGGAAGGTCATCCGACAGTTTAGAGGCTGCAGCAGAAAAAGCAGGATCTCCTCTGAGCTTTGAGCTGATCTAAGGGAGCGAGACGCTGTGTAGGGAAGAAGCAGCTCAGGCAGGTAGGGGTGGGGCAAGACCAGTAAGAAAAAGCACATAAAAGGATTTTAAAATGCCTAGAATAAGAAGATGAGCCTTGATCGCGTTTCTCTGTTCCTCTTTTAAAATTAATTTGCTGTCGATATCTTCTAGAACAGACCTAATAGCAGAATCTACACACCTCAACTCTCCAGCGGCAGCCATTGTTGTTGTCACCCAAGCGCGCTTTGGTCACGTGGTTGATTACGTTACTGTTGATCATCTGTCCATCATCGTATAAAGCCCGCCCTGACAATTTGATTGGCCCGCCAGATATTGTGCTAGCATACTCGCGCTACTGTAGAGCAATGCCAGACCGAACTTCCCGACCTCAAACGTTGTGGGCGGGACTAAGTTCGGAATGGCACCCAGGCTGAAAATGTACTGGCAGCCAATGTAATGAGGCTGAAATAGAGGAAATATAATCCAACTTGCTTGTACTTTTTAAAAGACGTGCATCAGCATTCTGCATCCTCTGAGGCTAATATCACTGATATGCAGGTCATAGTCATGCCAAAAAAAAAAAATCCACTGGACTTTATTTCCAAGTTTGAAGATGTTTCGCTTCCGACCCAGGAAGCTTTTGTATTGAAAAAGCTTCCTGGATGGGAAGCGAAACGTCTTCAAACTTGGAAAAAAAGTCGAGTTTTATTAATTCATCTTTTGTCTTTACCAAGACTGAAACACAAACAGAGGACAGGGCAATTCTACTGACATTAATACGCTCCAGAATGTTTGGCAGCACTTGAAATAAGTAAAAAAATTTTAAATTAAGTGTATTTACCCTTGATTTGAGTAGTTAAATGAGATAGTTTGCCAATGGAATCAGTATTTTTACTCTTAAAATAAGATAATAAGATAATTAGATAATAGTCACTTGAAATAAGACAATGCAATTGTGTTTTCTTATTTTAAATCTAAACTGTCTTGTTCCATTGGCAAGATGTTTCTTTTATCTCCTCAATTCAAGGACAAATGCACCTATTTTAAGAAAAAATGACTTATCAAGATTTAGATTTTTTGCAGTGAATAAACTAAATATATGGCCATCAATGTGCCTCTGTACACTGATATGGACCGCAGTCGAATCTGTAAAGAAGACAGTACTTTCCCCTGCAGCTAAATGGTTGTCGGTTCAAACCTCAACTTGTTGATTCACATGTAAGACATGTGCAGAGTCCTGGAGTTATTAGGTATGGAAACTTCATGTTTATTGGGTTTCACATGTCAACTTCATGGGACTTTTTTAAAGGTTTATGTGCGTTAGTTAGCGAACGTGTCAGAAAAATGAAATTATTCTGACATAACAACGATAGAGCCTTGGTCCTTCTTGATTATCAGAATGAATAAATGTTTAACTCAGAAGCTTTGCCATGCATATAAACATTTCTCTGCTCCAGCACACCTAGATCTAATGATTGCTACCATTTAACAGCCACTAAGAGCTGCTAATCACATGGTTATTAAGATCAGGTGTGTCGAAAAAACATCCAATTCAGCTTTGTCTAATATTTATACAAGTCACGGATCAAATTGAAATGTTGATCAAACTCTGTTTATTTTGACCCAGGAAGGTTCTGCTAAATGACTCGAGACGAACCCAGAGATAAATAATAAACCCCAAACATTAAAAGTTATCAAACATACTCTGAATTGATCAGTGTACCATGATGGGTCTGTCCTTTCACTGTCCAAACAAACACATCAGCAGATAGAATCCCTAAAAAATAAATAAATATAATAATCCCTCCTCTAAAAGACCTTCCGAGAACCTGAAAAACTGCTCTCCTACATCAGCTTTAAAATGTTTCTGGGAAATCTAGATGTTTGCTGTTTTCCAATCAGTTATTATTTTAAGAAATTTGCATTCATGATATCACCTTGGAGACGAAGGTCAGAGTGTCTGATGAGGGAGAAGCGAACAGAAAGAGACGTGTTGCTGCAGAGAAACTGCGGCGCCTTGAAGTCTGCATCACCTGCAGAGTCTGAAACAAAAGGAATAGACAGAAAATTACAGGAATTGATGTCAAAAAGCCACCAGGTGGATAGCAGAGGTAATGCATGTCAAAAATCACAGGAATTAGAGAAAAAATAAAAAAAAGTTTCTGTCTGTCCAGATCTTTACTTTTATATCGTTATATAGGAAACTATTAATGGTGAAATCTAATCTCCTTCATGGAGAAAGAATAGAGCGAAGAAACGACCTGAGTAAAGACAAGAAGAATCATGCTGTGGGACATGATGATGATGATGGTCAGAGGTAATGAAGATGGGTGGAGCTAAATCAGGACAATCCTGGAAGACAAGAGGCTGGCATACCAAAAAAGTAAAAAAGTTAAACAACAAACAACTGGGCCTCATTTTCCAAGTTTGAAGAAATTTTGTTTCCTATTCAGGAAGACTTTTCAATTCAAAATGACATCAGTTTGTTTAATAAAACTTTTGATCACATGTGGATCTTATGATCACATTTGATCACCACATTTTTTTTCCCATGCTGGTAAAACCGGCAGACATTTTGAATTAAAAAAGCTTCATGAATGGGAAACAAAACGTCTTCATAGTTTGAAAACAAAGTCCAGTGTTTATTTTTTTATTTTTATTTTTTTACTTTTTAAACTTGTTTTGGAATGACTATGACCTGGATGACTGAGAATCATCACAAGAACATATGACGTAGGTCAGAACTGATTCAGATTCCTACGGAGGAGGATTAGGGCCACTGGAAAAAAAAAAGTTAACTGATTATTAAATTTTATTTCAGTTTAACATGGGAAAAAAGTCAGAATTCTGACTTTAATCTCAGAATTCTGACTTTAATCTCAGAATTCTGTCTGAATTCTGACAATAAAAAAAGTCAGAATTCTGAGATTAAAGTCAGAATTCTGAGATTAAAGTCAGAATTCCCATACTAAACTGAAATAAAATTAAAAAAACAGTTATTTATTTATTTTTTCCTCTGGCCCTAATCCTCTTCCGTAAATTCCAGACTGAGGATGCTGGAGAAATTATGTTTTTAATAGTTTTTTTTATAGATGTTTTCCAATCAAATCTGACTGAACATCTGATGTTTTACAAAGGAAGGTAAATGTTTTTAGATTTAAAGCTGGTGGAGTTCTGCGTTCTGATGGCCCCCCCCCTGCCAACAGGTCTGAAAGTTATGGAGGTATCATCACTGTTCCACGGTTCTTTACAGATCTCCTAATCTGAACAGTGACTGGTTCTAATCCGATGCTGTTAGAACCAGAACTGAAGGCTGATTAAAGACAGAACCGGCTTTCTTTGCTCAGTGTTGGTTCCGTCTGTCTTAGAGGAGCAGGAGGTCCGAACTTCATGGCTTCAGTTGTTGGAATAAACAGCATAAACTCTTTGATGTGGGCCCGACCCGAGATAAAAACCCAGAACTCTGCAGGAGGCGTTTCTTTCTCACCTTTAACAAACTGCCACACCTGCAGGGAGAAGCCTCTTCCTCTCATCCGGTCCGAATCCTGAGCCTCTCTGTTCTGGTCCGGTTCCTGAGCTGAGCTCAGCTGGATTATCACCAAGCCGATCCAAATCCAGACGGTCATTATCAAGCTGGAACCAGGCGATTTTACTCTGCTGATCTGGAAGCAAAGCAGAAGACGCTCTGGGAGCTGGATGGTTGGAACCCGGAGCTCTGCAGGAATGAAGCATCAGAAGAAAATAATCAGCTGTTTTAATGACCTGACATGAGCAGAACCGTCCTCCTCCCCTCTGGATCTGTTGGTGTGACCTCTCTGATAAGACTCAGGGCCTCGGCACCACGGCTGCCGCCGTCTGCAGACGCCGTCCTTCAGGTTCTCTTCTCCTTTCTGCTGGAGAACAGAAGCACATCAACCAACAGAAACCCTTCAGTTGAGTTTCTGGTTCTGGAAGGAAGACCCGCGTCTAAAGGTCATCAGGTGGGTCCATATCTGCACAGACCTGAACTTCAGCTTCTGCTCTGATGCTCCTTCAATGAGATGAAATGTGTTCTTTTAAAAATAAACCGTACCCTGTGAGAAGCTGGAAGAACAGGCAAAGCCCTCAGCACAGGAATTTGTTGCTAGGCAACAACAGCCACCACGCAGCTTGGAGCAATAACATGATAAAAATGATTCAATCTATTTTTTGTTTCTAATATTTTTATTACAGGCACTAAATAATGAAACAGGCTCCACAAGGAATACAAATAAATAAAAAATACACTAAATATAAATATATTATTGTGTGACGAAAGTAAACACAATACAAGTATATACATTTTATAACGAAGGTTAAAACTTTGTGAAATGTTTTAGTAAATAGAGAAAAACTCAATATATATTTCATATATAGTTTATTTTGTTTTGTTCAGAGAAAAAAATGTATTTGCTTTTCCAAAACAACACGTTTCTGAGCTGTAATTTAATTTTAAGATATGAGGCAACATTCCATAAGTCTTTAGTTTCTCTTTCCTGAATTATTTCAAAAACTATAAGAAGTTTCAGGATAATAAACAATTAAATAAAAAATTTCAGCTCCAAAACTTTAAAGCATAACTATGTAATAAAATGCCTTTTGTCTGCCAGACATTTTCACACATTGGAGAAACTTTAAGATTAGAAATGGTTGATTTTCTGTCTGAAATAAAGTAATCTGTGTACAGTTTTATATTGAATACTGACATGCATTTATAAAGGTAGCTTTTATTCTGTGTGTCACAGTAGCTTCATCTGGTCTGTTCCTGTTTGGCTGTGACTCCATCCTGGAGAGAAATATCAGCTGTGCTGCTGCCATCAACACCTTTGCTTCTAGATGTTGGAGCTTGGCCTGTTTTCCAGTGTAGTCCTGTTTCTCTGACTGTGACTAACTGGATGTGCTCTCTTCATCCTCTGACATGGGAGCTGGCTCGGAGCTCGTCTGCCTGGCTGTGTGTTTCCTGGACGGGGCCGCCTGTGGAGCTGGTTGACAGTTGCCTTTTGTATCTATGCTTCTTTTTCTATGTCTGCTTCTGTCTCTTTGAACCCCAGTGGGCCTCAGCAGATGGCCGCTCACACTGAGCCTGGTTCTGCTGGAGGTTTCCTCATGTTCAAAGGGATTTTTTCCTCTCCACTGTCGCTACAAGCATGCTTACACTGCAAAAAATGAAAATCTAAGCAAGTCATTTTTTTCTTAAAATAAGTGCGTTTTTTCTCGAATTGAGGATGAAAGTGACACTTTGCCAATGGAACAAGGCAATTTACATTGAAAATAAGAAAAAACTATTGTATTGTCTTATTTCAAGTTCATATTTTCTAATTATCTTATTTTAAGACTAAAGATACTGATTTCATTGGCAAATCATCTTATTTACCTACTCAAATTAAGGGTAAATACACTTAATTTAAACATTTTTTTACTTATTTCTAGATCGTTTTTGCAGTGTAGTGTGAGGGATTGCTGAAGAGTCAATGAGTCGATGCAATCAGCTGGTTTTCCTTAGATAGAAAACTTTGAATCAATCTGACTGGATGATCTGGTGAACTGGAAAGTGCCTTAGGATGACGTGTTGTGAATTGGAGCTATAGAAATAAACTAAATTGAAATGAAGCCTGATCCAAGCGTCAGCATTTTAAAATCCATTTTTCTTTCTCACCTTTCAAAGGGAAACACGCTCCTGCAGTCTGAAGTCAGGCTATCGGTTTTCAGTATTTTGATATTATTTAATTTACTCTGGTGTTTCTCAAGGAGCCAGATGTGTGGTACAAGAAAATTAAAATTTTAGAATTGAGTTTCCAAACAAATCAGCTCAGTTCCAAATCTTTATATACATTTTCTATTCAGTTTCAAATTATTCATTATATTTCCAATTTTTTAAAATTCACTTTTAAATCAATGCAGTTAATTCATTGTCTTTCATATGCAGATTAACTTTCGCCGATGCAATTTGAGCTTCTAACGGTGCAAGTTTCCAAGTTTTGATTTTTCTCGGTTTGTTTCTATTTTCTTGCTCTTTTATACCGTTACTCTGAACCCTAGAACCCAAACCCTGCAGCTCTCCCTGCTGTAGCTTTAACATCTGAGGTCATGAAGTTGTTTGAGGGACAATTTTATTCATTTTGGTGAAACGTTGGGTCTGAGGAGCCATTTTAAAACTTCCTTCTATATCAGTGATGTCACCATGTTAAAGCTAACATTATTGGTTGTTTAAACCTTCTTCATTTATGTTTCATTTATCAGCAGAGAAACATCAAAAAGATGCAGGACCTCCATTACTGAAACTGAGGAACCCTGATTGAACCCTTTTTTCACTTTTACCCGATGTATTCCAGCATCCAGCTGCCATGCACGTGGGCATTGTCAGTTTCACTATAGCTCTGGTGAATTTCAATGGTGAAGTCCTCTGTGTCATGATTTACTAAAGGTCTGACCCAAACGTTTAACAGGTTTATTTGAACAATGACATGAGTCCAATGCTGCTCTGAACACTACTCAATCTGAAAGATGAGGGGAAGAAACTGCGGTTAGTTCAGGCTCAGTGGGAAATTAGATTCTTGGGCTAGAAGAGGAGGAATAGGTTGCAGACTCACATCTCCAACAAAGGTGTCCTTAATAGAATCCAGTCTGTGTGGGATGTTCCAGTGATAGTCTTGTTTGATGTTGGGCGGACAGGATTTACTCAGACTGCAGTTGTTCCTTGGTGAACGGAGAAAGCTGACTGCCACTCAGATTTCCTGCAGTAATTGAATGTGTCATAGTGGAGAATAATCCCTTTCTCAGTGCGAAGCTCAAACGATCTCTTGGGGAAAGTGGGTCCAAACCTCCTGTTTGAAACCCATCTCAGTTTGAAGCTCAGTAAGCTCAGTCCGAGAAATCCAGTTTGCAGGATGACTTCCCAGTATTGGCAACACTCTGGCCCCGAGGTAGTGGCAGTCAGCAGCTTAAGAACACTCCACAGGTAATGAGGCAATGAGCTGCATGTGTGCAGGGAGACCCAATGAGGACGGGGCACCACCTGGTGGAGGAAAACAGGAAACACAGAAACAACCCACACAAACTGGATTCCTGATACTCTGGAAATCTTCAATAATTGTTGTTGATTGCAGATGTGTCTAGTAGTTCCCATTGATTTGGGCAAAAATGGCCGCTCACTGGCGAAAACTATCATTTTTTTATCACCGCAAACGTTTTAGTTTTAGGTATAATTAATAATCCATTGATTATTTCTTGCTGATTTTTCTTTAAACATTTAACAGCTTTTTCTTTTTTTTAACCAAGGATAGAATATAAAAGCATAAATTCCCCAATAGAGGTGCCAAAGAGACCAGGCGGTGGTTACAACATGAATGAAATGAAGACCAGAGAAAGTGACTCAGATTTTTATGTATGTCATTCAGGGGTATATTCTATAAATCACAGTTTGTTGATTAGATTGTTAATCTAACAATAACAATTACAATAATTTAAGCTAATTTGGTGGCTGGTTGATAGCTGATCAGCTGTTGTGGCTGTTGATCAGCTAATGTGGTGAAATATGAGTTAGTCATTTTGATAATTGATGAAATGCAGTAGTTGATGATCAGTCAGTTGTTGCTATGGTAATGGTTAACTTAGTCATAATGTATATTGAAGGATTAGTTATTGGTGTTTAGTTAGTTATGTTTATTGGTAGGTTAGTTACCATGGTTACCGATCAGCTTATTGTTATTTGGTGTCTTCCAGTAATTCCTGAATCAAGCAACAATGAACTGAACAAAACGTTTTAAAAAGTCAGAACCTTTTTGCACCAAATCAATAATGAAGGCCTTCACATAGTTACAGTCCTCTGTGCTTCGGATGAAGCTTCTGAATTCGTTCCAAACCCACGGATTTTCGATGCACAGCGCCCCCCCACGTCTTTGGTACTGAGGTATAGCTCTGTTCATATCAGCTATACACAAACATGGTCTATTCTGATCTGTGGTCACAGTCCACTTTGAATGATCATCTGAAGCCTTCCAATTTCCCAGAGCAGTTTGGATCTCTTTAATGTTGAGGACATGACGTTGGTTTGGTTCACAGAAGGAGCGTTCCCGACCAGCTTGGCGACCCCATGTCTGAACCTTCAGTTCTCTGTCGAGAGCTTTGGCTATAGTGATGTAGAGATCTCCATCTGTGAGAAGAATAACTCAAATCAAAATCCGTGTACAACAAGTTCTTCAACTTCATTTAAAGCCCTTTAATTTTTTCTGCTTCCAATTAAGGAGCCCCTCAGGGAATCATATTTTGACCCTTGGTCTTTTTTTGCCAAAGTAATGATCTGAGGTTTTATGCTGCATTCCATGTCATGCAGATTTTGTTTATGTTCATTTTAATGTCATTCTCTGTTCCTCCTGTGTTGCTCCATGGTGTTTAGTCTTCAGAACAGCTGTTATTAATGCAGGAAAAACTAAGTTCATGAATTTCTAAATACAGGAGTTATTGTCAAGACATATTAAATTAAAAATGTTCAAGTGGCTGCAACTAAAATGCTACACATGTGCTTTTAGGCATGGGCATAAATCCATTTGCAGCATTGGTCATGAAGATAAAGTTGATATTTGTACGCACCAAAAAATTTTTAAAAAACAATCCACTGGTCTTTGTTTCCAAGTTTGAAGATGTTTCTTTTCCCAATCAGGAAGCTTTTTCTTTTCAAAATGTCAGAAATCACATTGAGTTTGAGGTTTTACACAGCAGCCCAATAAAACCTTGTTTTTGTTTAGAAAACATGCAAATAGAAACGGATGAATGGGTCCACCCCTTTGCCCCATTGCCCTGCAATGCCCCATACCTGTCTATGTATCCGACAGGCACTAAAGACTCTATTTTTTGTCTATGAATGTGGTCAGAGATGGCAAAAGTACTCACTTTCCGTACTTGAGTAAAAGTACAGATACTTGTGTTAAAAAATACTCTGGTAAAAGTGGAAGTACTGAATAAACTTCTTTACTCAAGTAAAAGTAACAAAGTACAGGCTTGTAAATTTACTTAAAGTATAAAAGTAAAAGTAGAAACCACTTTTTTCATGCCGTTGCCTACATTTTAAATGGATGTCTGCCAATAGGACTAGATCTCCGTTGTGTTCATTTTCAATCATCTCG